GCTCTTGCTCAGGCTGGTCTCGAACTCCTGAGCTCAAGCAATCCTCCCGCCTTGGCCTCCCAGAGTGCTAGGATTACAGGTGTGAGCCACCACGCCTGGCTGGTAGCTATTTTCAAATTGTCTTCTGTGGAGGTTGTACCAACTTACATTCTCACCAATGTTATGAAAGTGCCTGTTGCGCCTCCCCTTTGGCAGCAGAATATTTTAACCCTTTTGATATTTACCAATCTGCTAGGTGGAAAAAAAAAAGGTACCCCAGTATAGTTTACTTCGCATGCCTTTTATTGCGATGCATTGCATATCCTTTCCTGCGTGAGAGGTGAGTGGTCCTTCCTCGGCTGGCACTTTACTCTCCTGGTCTGAGGATCTTCTGGGGGCTGGTCTTTCTCTCTGACTCCCTTTTGTCGCTTTCACAAACAAGCCTTTGGGGAACAAAAGTCTTAAGGACAAACATGGGGTAGCAGTTAGCGTCATCGACATTCCAGATGTCAGGGTTGGGAAGCCCGGGGGAGGTCTGGAGGGCGTCGTCCTTCTGCTCCGAACTTGGAAGACCAACTTTCAGAGGGCTCAAGTTGTCCTCTTCTTCCACGGAGCTTCTGTTGACACAAGTAGCCTCGTGCTGCTCCAGTTCTTTGATGGGGACCACGTGGCAGGCATTGTATTTGCAGCTGGCCATCTTTTTGGCTCTCTTGGGGTTCTTCCTCCTGCACGAGGCCAGGTGGTACTGGAACCTGCTGAGTGGGACTCGGTGGTGAGGATTGTACGGGCAGATTTCTAAGGCTTCTGGCTCCATGAGAAATTGTTCTTGAGGCAGAGTGTCTCACTGCCCAGAGGCTAAATGAGATGCCGCTTGTGGAAAAGCCCTTTTGTAAGAAGGGTTGAGCTAGTCTCTGCCCAGCATTGGCCCCTGGGACTCTCTGTAGGTGAAGATCTTATCTTGTGCTCCCTGTTTGCTGGACCACTGAGTGGGAGATTAGAAGAGGGAGGATCTGTCAGAAGCAGCTACATAGAGCACAGGGTTAGCAAATGGACATGAGTCAGGAGAGCTTCATAAAGCAGATACAAGAGCCAAAAACACAGCAGCCATGCAAGGAGGTGGAGACGGTGTGCACTGGCCCCTGGCCCTGAGGGGTACACTGTGTGATGTCAAGGAGTGGTCACAGTGGTCACAGTGGGCAGCTTGAGTCATCAGGAAAAGGCCACCTTGTCTACCACTTGGGAGGGGCAGGTGGCTTTGGAGAAAGCTACCATTCAAAGTCACTCACAGATGTATGTTGTCATTTAAGTCTTTTAACTGCCCATATTTGTTTAATATAATTCCTGATATATTTGGGTTTAAATTTACCATCTTATGGTGTGCTTTCTAACCTAGTCTTTAGTTTAATTATCTTTCAATTTTTCCCACTATTTTGTACACTCTCTAATCATTTAGTGGTGGCGGGCGCGGTGGCTCACGCCTGTAATCTTAGCACTCTGGGAGGCCGAGGCGGGAGGATCCCTTGAGCTCAGGAGTTCGAGACCAGCCTGAGCAAGATATCGAGACCTCATCTCTACAAAAATTTTTAAAAATTAGCTGGGTGTCCTGATGTGCTCCTGTAATCCCAGCCACTTGGGAGGCTGAGGCAGGAGGTTTGCTTGAGCCCAGGAGTTTGAGGCTGCAGTGAGCTATGATGATGCCAGTGTGCTCTAGCCAGGGTGACAGAGTGAGACTCTGTCTCAAAAAAATTGAATCCCCCTTTCCACTTCTGCTTATACAAAAAAAAAAAAAGAATCAGTTCAGGAATTTTCACCCTTGTAACGATACATAATTTCATAAACAGTGAATGAATCCCTTGGTGAGAAATCAGTTTCTAAACAGTTTATCGGAAGCAAACATGGATAGGTTTTGTGAGAAGTGATTGTCCATTCAAACTGGAATCCTGGACTTTGCATCTAAGCCCTTAAACAGAGACGCTGGTGCCGTAAGGCGTTGATGCTTCCCTTTCTCCCTTCTCACCCACGTCCCTCACCTGCTGCCTCTCTCCAGCTCTGCTCTGCTGCAGCAAGAAGCATTTCCAGTGCCCTTCATTCCTCTGCAGACCGACATCTCCTTCTAGTTCCTTCTGTCTGAACGTTGCCCTTAACTTTGTACTGTGTGCCTGCCGGTGATGAGTTCTGTCAGCCTTTGTATATCTGAAGTTGCCTTAATTTTTGAAAGATATTTTTGCTGGGTATTGAGTTCTAGGTTGACAGTTGTTTTTTTGTTTAAATTTTTCAGTGCTTTAAGGATGTCCTGTCTTCTGGCTGGCAGTTTTATCTTTGGTTTTAAACAGTTTGATTACAATGCACCTTGGTGTGTTTTTCTTTGTTTCTCGTGCTTGGTGTTCACCGAGGTTTGTTCCTTCTGTTTCTGAGGAGGCCCTTCCTCTGGGCTTCTGACTTAGGCCTGTGGGGTGGGCGGGTGCTGTGGGAGGAGAACCTATGCCGGGGCCAAAGGTCAGCTGGAGGGAAGGTGGGGTCAGGGCAGCAGAGTGTCTCCTGTCTGCCCCCTATCCTATCACTGAGCATCTCTCTTGGCCCCTGGCAGGTTTGTAACCCCAGATCAGAAGTACTCCATGGACAACACTCCCCACACACCAACCCCGTTCAAGAACGCCCTGGAGAAGTACGGACCCCTAAAGCCCCTGGTACGTGGCGTGGTCGCTGCCGCG